ACAGAAAGTGGTCATACTTCCATGCGAAAGCCAGATGCAGGGCCTGGTCAGTACTGTGATGGGAGACCTCTGAGAACACCAGGTGCCACAGTAGTGCGGCTGCGGAGCAAAGTGGCAAAGTGTGTGTGTGGTGTGTGGTGGGAGGAGCCAATAGAACATTGCTTCTGTCAGTGTGCCCCAGGGCAGCTGTGGCTAAAATAGTAGTTTAATATTATTATCACCTCCGTGTTTTGAACAAAAGAACAATGACATGCGAAGCGTCTTTGAGAGTCCAGGAAAAACGATATAAAACTGATGCGTTATCGTTATTTATTATTGTTAATATTAACTTCAAAATCACAGAGACGGACACACGGAGACACATGAGGGCGGGACCAGTGGGGGCGGGTCCCGGCTCAAAAGTGGCCAAAATGATGTGCGTTGACATGCTGCAATACCACCCCGGGCCGATGGGGGTGGACCCAGAAGAAGAACTAGCCAATGCTAACATATAGCATTAGCTGACCTCTCGAAAACGTCTTTACAGGATGGACCAAAAGTTGGCTCTTGGCCCAAAGCTCCGTTTCACATGTGTCAATGCTGAGGGGGGTGGATTTTTTTGGACCACTCTGGTTTACTCGCTGTGAATTTTTGAATGGGGCTTGCGCCGGCTGACACATGCGCAGATGCGTTTTTTCACAATTTTCTTGTGGATAGCTCCAGTAGAGCTAATTTTTTGGCCCATTTGTTTGAACGGCGTAGATAGGCTTGACTACGTCCATTAATATTTACAGTCTATGGGCGTTACTGGTAATAAACTGTCATGAACACTCACAGTAGCCAATATATCAATATAAAACCAGGTAACAGTAATCAAAAAGTCCACACAACCACAGCTATTCGTGGAAAGCAGCATTCAATGACCAAATTTGGCTGATAAACTAGTTAATGCATTAACTAAGTCAAATCAGACTTATTTTGCCATAACCACTGGACTTTTTAGTTGCATATTTGTAAGAGGGTGCTATGAGGTTAAAATATGATATATTCCCTACACGTCGGTTAAAACGCAGCCACCACACCGCTGCAGCCAGAATCAGATAACCAAACTTCTGAGAGTGAATAATGGAAAGCCGGGGATAAAGATGACAACAACAAATGCTCCATAAAGGCTTCCACTCTGTGTCTACAGCTCCCTCTAGTGGCAAAGAGCCTCATAATCCTTTCCATCGATTATGTGTGAATACCAAACTAATCTGCCAGCTAGTTTATCTCATCAGGCGTGAGTCAACAGCAGTTATTGGAACGTAAAACAATTACAGGCTCTGCTTTTTTATCTGAAACGGTGGAGAGAGAAAAAATGTGTGTGTTGGGGAGAGAGGAAAGAGGAAGAGGAGGAGGAGTAGGAGAGGACAATTTGCCCGTTGACGTCAGAGGCAAGTTTTCAAGGACGCAGGGAGCAAGTTTGGCATAGAAAAAAAACGACCTGTGCTGACTTTTTCTGAAGAGATGAGGAAATAAAAGGTGTGTAAAGAATGTCTATATAGAATGAGCTCCGATGTTGAGTCATTGGTGAGTCACAGGGGGCCAGCCAGTTGTGCACGGACACCCCCTTTCACTGTATGCACTCAATCACGGAGCTTGTAACTTATCATTATACAACCTGGCACTGGGAGCTAAAGGATGCCAGGTAATGAGACGGTGAATCAGCAATCAAAGACATATCAAAATCAACAACAAAAAATAGCCCCAGCTTCAGCTCAGTCCTGTGGAAATGAGGGCTTTTGGCTGACAGCTTGTAGGAGGAGAGGAGCATGTTGGCACGCATCCCCAGGTATGAATTATACATGGGAGCGCACACGGAGAGGACTGGAGATTCACGCACACGTCCGCTATGGAAATGCCTAATTAATCAGGTTCAAGCTCACAGGAACACGCACAGGTAGAACGCAGCAGGCATGTGAAGATGTGCTGATAGACTGAGAGGTAAACATTAACAGGTACAAGTGTTTTATTTGGAAGCTGAGTTTGAATATTGATAATAAAATAGCAATCAGTAAAATATTGTAGCCCGAGGTTCTGTGTATGAGTCTTTCCAGGGCCTCGCACCGAAGTACATCTGTGACATGTTAGTGCCATATGAACCAACTGAGGAGCACAGGGACTGGCCTCCTGCTGGGACTCTGAGGAGCACAGGGAATGGCCTCCTGCTGGGACTCTGAGGAGCACAGGGAATGGCCTCCTGCTGGGACTCTGAGGAGCACAGGGACTGGCCTCCTGCTGGGACTCTGAGGAGCACAGGGATTGGCCTCCTGCTGGGACTCTGAGGAGCACAGGGACTGGCCTCCTGCTAGAACTCTGAGGAGCACAGGGACTGGCATCTTGCAGGGACTCTGAGGAGCACAGGGACTGGCCTCCTGCTGGGACTCTGAGGAGCACAGGGACTGGCCTCCTGCTGGGACTCTGAGGAGCACAGGGACTGGCCTCCTGCTGGGACTCTGAGGAGCACAGGGACTGGCCTCCTGCTGGTGCCCAGAGTTACTCTTTTCAATGCACTGTGTGACCTTATTCTCAGTTTTTCATATGTCTTGTGAATCTTAATGCTTGTTTTGAATCCATTGTTTTATGTTTATGTAGATTTTAATGTTTATAATTTATGCCTGATGTGATATGGGTTGTGAGGCCCTTTGTGTTGCCTTGTGTAGGAAAGGCGCTCTACAAATAAAAGTTGATTTATTGATTGATATGTATAAGCTATATATGAGTCAATACATAATCCAGTGATGTTTATGAATAGGGCTAAGCAGATCATTGGATTCCTATCAAGTCATGTATTTGCTTCATCCAGAATCAGCTCGGTGCAGTTGTAGTAGTCACAAATCACTTAAATACACAAACACATTGATGTTAAAATAAACTTGCAAAGTAAAAAAGCAGGTGTAAATGCAGTGGTTTCTCTCCCTCTGAATGGGGAGTCGCTGTGCAGTTTGAGAACCACAGGGAGGAGAGACTTCCTGCTGCGCTGTGTGCTGCTCTGGGCCCGAATCTGAGTCTGAGTCTGAGCCTTTGAGAAAAAGTGTGCCAAAAGAAAATGAACAAATAGGCGAAAATAAAGAAGTTCTAAGTTTGATAATAGTGAAAAACAAACTTAACTTGGAATATACTGTATATGTTATGGTTATGACATTTGCTCTCCATGTTTTGCCATAATTATTAGATAGATTTCTACTACGACTGCAAAAAGGAGTAGCTCTCCAAGTAGCTTCTTTTGTATAAAACTAGCTCTCTGATTGAAAAAGGTGATACACTGTTGTAGTAAAATGTGTTCCTCCTTCAAGAACAACATTTCCTCCTTAAAATGTTTGCCGTCCATTGAACCCAAACAGATGGGAAAGAAAATGTGAAAAAAAAGCCTGTTTCACGGATCCCAGTTCCACCACGGAGCAGAAGTATGTAGCGTAGATAAAGCTGCCCCTCCCCCAGGTTCATATCAGTCCTGGGACCATCACTCCCACACCTCGGCCCCCAGCACTGCTTTTTAAAACAGCTCCAATGCGGCCGAGTTTGAGTCCTGACAAAAAGTCCATTTGTGACTGAACTGAATAAGTGGAACGGATCCTTGAGTGCCGCCACTTAACATTTTACTAGCTCAAGCGCTTACTTCCGAGAAACTCTACCCATCCATCACCGTGGGTGTCTCTTCGCACGCAGGAAGGCGAGAAGTGGAGCTAAGGAGAGGGACGGCGCAATGTCCAGTAGGGCTGCGATTAAGGATTACTTTGATAACCGATGAGCTGTCTGATTATCCAGCCGATTAATACATTAGTTCAGGATCAAGAAAGGGCTGAAAATAGATTCAACAAAAACATAACTCTACTGATTCTATGTGTCTTATTTTCACATCGTTGGTTTGTTTAGTTTACATTTTGTCCTGCCGTTTTTAGAGTTTTGTTGGGAGTCATAAAACATCTCATTCAAAAGATTTCTAGAATTAGTTGGCAACGATTTAAATAATTGATTAGTTGCGATCAGCAAAGCAAAATATTGGAACAGTAAAAAAGTCAAGCGTAAGAAAAAGCAGTATTTTACAATCATATAGATGAAAAATTTAACAATTTTCATAAATATATGTTATTTATATACTGTATATACTTATAAATACTGTTATTTTTTAGATTTTTTTTTCCTAATTTGTCTCTATCTATTCATTTGTATACTTTACTTTATGTTTTACTTAATAACAATACATTTTCAATGAATGCACCAGTAGTGATGCATTTTGTTCCAATGGGGTGGGACGTTAGAACAGGAACAAAGGGGCCTTTTTTAAAAAAAATTACGGAACTGCATCATATCGTTCACAAACATATGATATTGTATCGAATTGAACGTTCCCCTGAATCAAGATCGGCTCTGAAAGTCACCATAAACAAACAAAAACTGTGAATCTCTTTGGACATGGTTCAACAAATGTCCTGTTTCCACCACCCCCTACTTGACCTCCTCTCTACTCTTCTCGGCTCGACTCTACCTGGTTTCCATTACGCTTTAGTACATAGTACCCTATCCCAGCAGTATGCAGGGGAATTCCTTGGTAACCATGTCTTCCAGCAGCACTCTGGCCTATCACAGTTAGTTCGAACCGCAACAGCTCGCCCTGGATAGAACCAGGGTATAACCAGGAAATAAAAGTCATGTCAAAATACTGTCATAATCTAAAAACAATTATAAGAAATGGAAATCCCTACTATTCTTTCAACCCCCGACCAGCGACTATTTTGATTATTCGGCCCTTGACCAAAAGTTTGACCTGCCTGCTCCACATCAAGAGGGACTTTTTCTTCTAAATAAAAACAGGGTAAAAGCAATGCCTCTTGTTGGAGGCAGGATTGAGCTCTTGCAGTCACAATGCCATGCTCGCAGCACAGAGCAACAAGTGCAGGAAGCCTCAGAATAGAGACAGGAAGGTCAGTTTGTAAACACAGCAGAACGTGTGACGGCCTGTGCTTGTGTAGTCTTACTCAATTAGCTGCTCCATTGCCGATCCGTGGGTCTCTCGCGGCACGTCGCGGTTCACCATAGAAGTCATCGGCCTAGAGCTGGACAGAAGACATACAGCGGCCAATCAGAACAAGTCACAGTCACTCATTAGACATTCAAGCTGTAGTTTTGTGTTTCTTTTTTTTTTTTTTACTTTGTACCAACAGAGAGTGTCTTTAGGTATGTAGGTAATATAGTATGAACAAATCAGACCACGACACGCTGTATTAGGCTGAGTGAGCTGACTTTTTGCTTGACATGGGGGGGGGGGGGGGCAGAGTGTTCCAAAGCTTTAGTCAAGCCACAGAGATTCTGCCCTGAGACACCACAAGCTAGCCTTTGGACTTTAGCGCTTGAGGCAGAGGTTGGTAATATACATAATAATTGATTACGTGGTGATCGAAACTCATGACGTCACCGAGGGGTCCTACTCTGCAGTGGAGGCCGCTGAGAGGCCGAGTGAGAGGATGGTTCCTGTGTCTGTCCCACCCCTCCTTTTACCAGGAACTCCTGTGGTGGAAACACGATTCAAGTCTGTGAAGCGGTCAGTGTTACCAAAACACCTCTGTTTTGCCCTCATTCAGACGCACAAAGTTGTCAATGATTCTGAATTGAAATAAAAGTGAAGAAATATGACTATAGGTGTTTTATAAGTAAGTAAGTAGGTAAGTAAGTAAAGTTTATTTGTATAGCGCATTTCACAGACCAGGGTCACAAAGCGCTTCACACATTAAAACTCATAAAATACACATACAAGTCAGATAAAAAAAAAGACCCCAAAAAACACATTTTACACAGTTCACAGGGGCCTATGAACAGTGAGGCGAGAAGGCCCGTCTAAACAAATGCGTCTTAAGTTGGGACTTAAAATCATCGACAGTCTCTAAGATGCGCAGAGACTGAGGAAGCTCATTCCAAAGGTGAGGAGCAACTGCCTGGAAGGATCTGTCTCCTCTGGTTTTAAAGCGAGTGCGAGGGACCATCAACAGGTTCTGAGTGGAGGACCTCAGACTCCTGTTGGAGACATAGGGGTGGATAAGGCTCTGGATATAATCAGGCGCCTGACCATGAAGAGCCCTGAATGTCAACAATAGAAATTTAAAATGGATTCTGTGAGAGACAGGGATGGTATTCTAGCCATATGTCTCATTCTGCATTTATTTTTCAGTCACAAGTTACAAAAACAACACTTTATATTGTTATTGCATGATATATATTGTTTAAAAGTATTTCGTAAAGGTAGCATTTTGTGAACGAATTAGTCCACAACATGCCATCTTCTTATTAGTACATATTTTGCATACTTTAAGAAAGAGCCCTATGAGTCTCTATTTTACTATTTGGACTGAGAGCTTATTGGTTTACTAGTTAGGTGGTTAGTTAGTTTTGAAACGGCTAATATTAAGATGTGATAGCGGCGAACATCATACCTGCAGGTTTTAGTTTAGTTTAGTTTTTAGTTTAGTTGAGTTTATTTCAAGCACACAATGACAAAGAAACATAGCTCTTTTTACATAGTTCCATTGTTGGGGTTTGAAAGTTAGGTACCCCAGCTTTAATGACACTGATTACATGACAATAGTAACCGATTGCCCTTGTACACTGCAACAAACAGCAGCATCTGTTCCGACGAATGGAAGTGCTCTCCTCCACGCGCTGATCAAAGGCCACACAGGGGGATGGCAAATTGAGGACGCGAGCCGAGTCTGTCTCCTGATGCCAAACACGACTCCTGGTCCAAAACGATTCATCTCCAGTCTCGCTTTTTCCGTCCAATTGATATTAGGATCCTGGCTCACAAAGCGGAGAAAGGGAAGGTAGTGGAAAAAAATGCAGACTCAGCTTCCTCGTCTGAATTTCAAGGACATCAAAACAGTTCATGAGCAGGTTTAAAGTGAAACTCCAGCTGCCCTTTTCTGTTCATTGCAGGATATTAATTTCTTTGAAGCAGTCTTAATCCAAGTCTGGGAAAGTGGCGTGGATTTGTGTTATGTCTGTTACACAGTTTGGCCCAGTAGTCTCACGGCTCTGTAAGCACTTAAGCACCTTATTAGGCTAACTAAAATCAAATACCTGACAGGAAGCCACCCAAAGTCCAAAAGTTATAATCCACTGTACTTGCGAGGCTGTTTTTCTTGTCATAACGTCATGTATTATTGTGTAACAGTACATGGACGGTTAAAATATAGTATTTAAAAAACAAAATATACTTAAATGTTCCAAAAGATGTCTCAAAATCAAGTTGAGTTGAATTTCTTCTGCTTTTTATTGTCATCAATGTTGTTTTTATTGTTATCGAGCCAACAAAATAACGCAAAAACACACACAGGTCTATCTCAATGAAGCCCAATAGGGAAGTGCTCATGGACAAAGTTTATCAGCTGAACATAGGTATCAGCCGATGTTTGCCTTGTTAACTACCATCGGCGTAGGTGCGGTACTTTACAGGGCGTCTGCTCACTTTGCTCAGTACAAGAAACATAGAAGATGCCGGCGGTCGTGTGGCAATATTTTACCGTATAAGAAAGAGATCAGCTTTAGGGAGTTTGCGATACGTGGTCCAGTGAGATTTCCGGAGGGGGGACTGCTAGAAAATTACAACAAATATGAAAGCCCCCTGAAATCTGAAAGCCCCCTGAAAGAACTAGGCTGTGTCACCGTTGATGGAGCAACAGCCATCTTCCTGTGGACCCACCACCTGCAGAGGATCAGCGAGGGGCTGGTGCCATGAGCATTGGGTGGCAGCTATCATTGCCACCCCCCCAACCCAGAAATGGACTAATAAAGGGGTAGAAGATGAATGAATGAAACTCATTGGACATTTGAGAAGCAAGCACGAGGAGGTGTACAGCGATTGCATGCAAGCTGACGAAAAAAAAAAACTGCCAAACTGCTCACTTGTAACATACTGTGTGTGTGTGTGTGTGTGTGTGTGTGTGTGTGTGTTTGGGCGTGTGCGTGAGAGCGCCTGTGTGTGTGTGTGTGTGCACTTGTTTTCAACTCCTGGTGGGTTCCATAACCTGAGATTCCACTCACGTCATGGGGACTGGTTTTACGTGGTGGGGCCCGAACACCGGACCCCACTGGTCCAAGCTTAATAATCAATGGGTAATGCTTTTCTAACGGTCCTTATGCAGTCTCTGTAAAAATATGGAAAGGACCCCTGGAGGTTTACTTTCCTGAAAAAAGTGTGTTATGTGTCGGAACCCTGGTGGTGGGTTGCGGAATATCAAGGAGGGGCACACTGGGGCAATTTCAGTCCAGCAGGCTGGAGCCAATCATGGAGCAGCACAACAGAGGAAATCAGGTGTCAGGCTAGAAAAGGTGCAAGTGTGTGGTTCATTAGGCTGCAAGAAATCATGGAGGAGCACACTGAAGCGCACGCTTACAAACCACTGGTAAGTGCTGACTACAAGTCATGACTTCAAATTGTTATATAGAATTATTACAAATTATTTGTTGTTTGTGCAGCTTAGTCAAGAGTCCCTAATTGATGAAGTCGACTCAGATTCTGACGATTTAACTGTCAAGAAGAAACCTGTAAAAAAGTATGGAAGAAGAAAAATCAAAAGCACTTTTCTTCAAGACTCGGAAAGTGACGAACCAAAGGCAAATAAGATTGTTATCATGCAGCTGCAAAAGAAGAAAAATGGGGGGCGAGTTTACAGCAAGAGACATTTCTGCCTCTACTGTTCCACAAAATGTCCCGTCATTTGACTAGAAAACATGGAAATGAAAGTGACGTAGCCAGAGCATTGGCTCTACCTGTGAAATCTAAAGCACGTAAACTTCAGTTTGATTTGATCAGGAATAGTGGAAACCGTGAGCACAATTTTGAGGTTTTAAAGGCCGGCATTGGAACTTTAGTCCCAGCTAAACAGCCAAATTCCCCAGTTAAATCTAGTGAGTTTTTGCACTGTATAGACTGTGGGGCATTGCTTAAGCGAAAGTCGCTGTGGAGGCATGTGGCCAGGTGCCGGCTTTCACAGAAAGATGCCCAGGCTAAACCAGGTAGAAGTAGGGTCCAGACTAAGCATGATTACATTAGGCAGAAAATGAGAGTCGGTAGGTTAATTAACGAAGCAAAAACCGCAGGGAAACTGAAAACAATTAAGGATTTCTTTATTCCTTCCAACTTTAACCATGTGATTGCTGCAGTCAGGTCTGTGGCTGGATATGATGAGGAAACAAATCAATACAAGACTCCATCCTTGGCCCTCAAACTCGGCCATAGCCTCAGAAAGCTAGCAGATATTCTTGAATGTGACTCAAAAATGGAGCATTGTGTTGATGAACTATTTATTAACGAAACGAAGCCGGCTGCTTTTTGAGAAGAAGTGGGACGTCTGTGTTTCTTCTGCTGCCCTACAGACCCTCCGGAAAGCCAAGTGGAACACTCCGGACCTGCTCCCTCTGACTGAGGACGTTAGAGCCATGCATGCACATATTGAGGTATGTCGACCTGAATATGTGCAAACCCTAATAAGTGAGCCAACGTCTAAGCATTGGTCTAAACTGGCAGTTTTGACTCTTTGTGAGGTCATTATTTTCAATCGAAGAAGGGAAGGTGAGGTTTCAAAGATGCCACTGACAGCGTTCACCTTAAGAAGTAAGACTGGGGTCCATTCTGACATGGCTCTGGGACTGTCTCAACTTGAGAAAAAGCTGTGTCAGCGTTTTCAACGCATTGAAATTAAAGGGAAAAGAAGTCGGAAAGTGCCGGTTCTTTTGACTCCTGAAATGATTGCTTGGATGGAGGTGCTGGTGGAGAACAGAAGGGCCTGTTCCATCTCTGACCATAACCCATACTTCTTTTCCCGCCCGGGCGCAGACACCCACATCAGGGGATCAGACTCCCTACGGCAGGTAGCCAAAGAATGTGGTGCGGTGCATCCAGAGATGCTATCCTCAACCAAACTTAGAAAGCACATAGCTACTATGTCTACAGTTCTCAATATGAAAGAGAATGAAATGGACATACTAGCCAACTTCCTCGGCCATGACATTCGCATCCACAGACAATATTACAGACTACCAGAGGGGACACTG